GAAACTAAAACTTATATATATATATGTATATATATATATATACGAAGAAACCAATAAATGTGTGTGTATAGATAATTGAGCTTAGAGTATATAACACACATAATATAAATCCTAAACTAAATTACCCAAGCTTGATTGGTCTTCAATAAGCTCTACTTGGTAATCTCGCGGATGAAGCTTGAACTTGGATCTTGAACTTTGAATTGCAAGGCTTCACCGACATTCCGCCAACCTCCTTTGGATATCATCGTTGAAGCTCTATTCCATCCATCCTCCAACAACGTTGTTTGTCTACAATAAATACGAAAACACAAATACTAGACAAACAACATTAGTGGTAAATTGTTTGTTAAACATCATCAAAACAAGAAGGCCAACAATCTCCCCCTTTTTGATGATCTTTAACTTTGAATTGCAAGGCTTCACCGACATTCCGCCAACCTCCTTTGGATATGATCGTTGAAGCTCTATTCCATCCATCCTCCAACTACGTTGTTTGTCTATAAAACATAGGAATGCACAAACACTAGACAAACAACATTAGTAATAAATTGTTTGTTAAACATCATCAAAACAAGAAGGCCAACAATCTCCCCCTTTTTGATGATGACAAACAATTTACAAAAAGGAATATATGCATGAAGGAAATGAACATATACAAGATAATACACATGCATATAAATGTATACTCACAATATTTCTCCCCCTTTGACAACATCAAAAAGGGGACAAAAGGATTAAGAGAGCGAAAGCTCCCCCTATCATTAAGTATGGGTGAGTATCAAACATAAAAGGATATAGGGATTTCTCCCCCTATCAAGAAGCCATATGGAATATATAAAATGAAGTGCAAGGCAAACATGTGAGCAAGCATAACCATGCTAAACAAGACTCACATACAAAAATACAATGATGACACATATTAATATGCCATTTAAATAATGTGTCTCAAAAAACATATATAATAGTAGATTTATGAAATCAAAAAAGAGGAACATGAGAGTTATGCAAAAAGTTTTCAAATGAAAACAAGTCAACCAAAAGAAATCATAAATCAAGATTTGAGTCCAAAACCCATGTTTGATCAAAAATAGAATCTCCTTTGTAGGATTTGATCAAATCACATATGGAATACATTATAAGGCACGAATAGATGATCCATGAGCACAAACATATAAATATCATCATATAAGTGAAATATAATGAATTCAAAGCAATAAATCAAAACAAACTCTTTGACAAAAGAATTTCAAGAGAGGCAACAATATATCAAGCTCTTAAGCTTGTTTCAACCCATATAATCATTTTAGCATCCGGTAAACATGATTTGGGAATAAACACCCAATAAATCCGGAGGGTTATATAAATACAAACCTCTCATCAAAATCAAAACTAATAATCATGAAAACAAAGGATTTGATAAAAGAAAAAAATTGTTTTCATAATCAGAAGATTTTAAAACATAATTTTCAAAACCAAGAAAAGGAAAAAAAATACTAAAATTCTTGGTTTAAAAAATTATTTTGGAACCCAAGAATTCTTGGTGCCGGATTGGTTAGGGACATGACCCCTATCATTCAAGCTCAAAGCCCTAGGGTTATGAACCCTCTTAGGCGCATATGGTGCACGAACACAGTCATAATAAAAATTACTCAAATGACCCTTCCGATTGCAATAAGTACAATGGAAAGGAAGCATTTACTTATGTTGACCAAACGGTTGTGCACAGGAAACATTAGAAACATTTGCAAACATGGATGGTCTTTTAAAATTGTTTTGCAAATGTGAAACTTTCTTTAAATCAAAACAAAATTTGGCCAAATGACCAAAACGACCACAAAACTCACATTTGTACATATGGGCATGTTTATGATGATCTATACGTGTGTGTACATGTGAGTGTGATAATGAAGCTTGATGGGATGCACAAACATGATTAATCTTGATGGGTTTTTGTGCATTATAACAAAATCTAGTAAGGTGACCTTTACGACCGCAATTAGTGCATTTATAGACTTTGTTATACATGTGTGCATAGTGTGTAGGTT